TTTCTAGCATAAGCTCCTCTAGATCTGCACTGTAAGCCTGAATTAAAAATGTCAGAGATGCTATAAAAATGTAGCCCTTTGCTCAACTATGGCGGGACACAGGCTTCATCAAAGTGTCTCTTGGCAGCCATGCGCCACACAGAAACAAAGCAATGAAAGAGTCACACAAAGACATGCTGCTCTGTTCTTGGTGGCTTAACTACCTTGCTTTCATTAAGTCTTGATACTCTCATTAAGTAAATCAGGAATATATAGATTTGTAAGTCATAAATTTATAGCAGGTATGCATTTATTCTTTTTCTACCAATTCATAAGCCTTTGTGTAACCTTGAACACACTTTAAGTGAGAAAGAAGAGGATGAAAAATAATGTATTAGGCAATGTGAAAGAAATATGATTAGCAATGTTAATTTCAGAATAAATAGAATTTAAAGCAGAAAATATTAGCAATAAATGATGATCTTGCATTAAGCTGCTAAAAGGAACAAAAGACCTAAAAGATAATAATTAATACATCAGCACATAAAAATATATACATAATTTTTGACATCAGTTGAGAGATTATCAAGAGAAATAGCTAAATCAGTAATAGTGGTTAGATATTTTAATGGATTTGTATCAGAAATAGCCCAAGGAAACAAATAAAAACTTCATATATATGATAATTAATAACTATAAACCAAAAGATACATAACTAACTTTGTACCCATTGAGCATACTTTTTCTTTTCTAAGCACACATGAAACATTCACACAATCCAGTCTGGTATTGAGTCACAAAAAAAGCCTCAATAAATTGCAAAGAAGCAATATTTTAGAGTTTTCCAACTACTATTTAATAAAATTGGAAATCAAAACTAGGGGAGGGTGTTCCAAAAAAAAATTTTTAATGAATGACAACTCTTAGAAAAACCCCAAATGCCTATAAATCAAAAAAGAGAAATTCATGAGCAAAAGTATTAAATTTACGGCTGAATGAGAATAAAAGCACTACATGTTAAAATGTCTGGGAACCAGTTAGGGCAAGACTTTGAGGGGCATATGTTTTCTAAAAGTTATTCATCAGAAGACAACAAAATATAAATAAGTGAGCTAAATATTCCCCCAAATACTAGAAAAATAAACAAGAAAAATAAGTGAAAGAAATAAGAAGAAGTAATGAAGGTAAGGACAGAGACTAATAAAATAGGGAAAAACATAGGTAATAATAGTAGCTAACATGCTTATAGTGCATATGTTAAGGACTATTCTAACTGCTTTACACGGATTAATTTACCCAATCTGCACAACACCCTTAGAGATAGGTAAAATTATTCATTTTTCATTTTACAGATGAGTAAAAAAATACACGGAAAAATTACATAATTTTTTTCAAGATCATAAGCTAATCAGGAACAAGGGTTGATTTATAATCTATGCTTTTATCTACTGAGCTACAGTAATCCAAAAGTTGATTTTTCTTTGGAGAAGACTACTAAAGTAAATAAGCCCCCAGAAAAGCTGATTAAGGAGAAAGGAGAAAGAAAAGGATTCCTGTTTTATTCAGAGTAATTGAGAGTAGCTGACACTTCAAAACCCTCAACATCACTTGATTTAACACAGTAAATATCTCTTTCTTTCTTCCCTCAGAATCCTTGGTCAGTCAAACCTATAGGGGATCTATCTCTCCTCAAGCAGTAATCAGGGGTTCATGATAGCATGACAGAAAGAGAAAGAGAAGAATAATGATTGCTGGCTGTTAACTTCCTTGGCCTGGAAGACGTACTCTCTGCTCACCTCCTATAGGTTTGGACCAACCTATAGTCCTATAGTGAGAGTAAGAACATAGACAAGCACATGCATACTCTGGTAAACACTAACAACCTCTACAACAAATACAAATACGGTAAAGGCAGACTACAAAAAGGATAAAAATCTATAGACAGATTTTTTTAAATTTATTATTATTTTTAGAGAGTCTTGCTTTGTTGCCTAGGCTGGAGTGCAATGGTGTGATCATGGTTCACTGCAGCCTTGACCTCTCACTTCAGCCTCCCAAGCAGCTAGGACTACAGATACACGCCCACCACACCTGGCTTATTTCGTACTTTTTTAAGGGACAGGGTCTCACTATGTTGCTCAGGCTGGTTGCAAACTCCCGAACTCAAGCAATCCTCCTGCCTTGGCCTCCCAAAGTGCTGGGACAAAAGGCATGAGTCACTGCACTGGACCAAAAATATATTATTTTACAGGAATGTTTGGAAGACTACTCAACAACAAATTTGATAACCTAGCTTCAACAGACAAATTCTTGGGAAAAGATTAAGGATGAACATTGGAACAAGAAGAATGCTAAAGGATAGCCAAACATTAACAAAAATGGAAATAGTAATCAAAAATCTCTCTCCATCCTTGCCTTCCTTCACAGCAAAAAATAAAGCCCCTGTTCCAGCTATCAACTAATTGTCCTTCAGTTGCATCCCTTCGTTGTGATCCTGCTTTGCAATAGGAAAGCTGGACCCTGTAAACATTTCTTTTCCAGTTGGCATGATGGCAAGTGTTGTCAGTAGAGGGCGCTGGGGGATACTGCAGGAGGAATGACTACTCTCCTTGGTTTCCAAATACTACTCCTCTCTTTTGCAGTGAGACCCTGTTGAGGCTGAGGTGAGAGGCTGAGAATGCAGTGAACCATGATCACACCACTGCACTCCTGCATAGTCAACAGAGCAAGAGCTTCTGCAACACTCAGCCTGAAGGTCGGTCCTTCTAGTGAGCTCCTGTGGAACCCCCATGGCAGCATTCTGGTAAGCTCTACTAGGCTGCCAGCTAGACTGCCAGCCAGCCTCCCAGCCAGTCTCCCAGGAGGGAGTTAGGTGGCACCTCCATAAGCGGTTTTGTCAGCAAGTTCTGCGGGCTCCCAGCTGACATTCAGGGTGTCTCACAGGTGATCCAGGAGGCAGTATTCCAGCAGGTTCTGTGGCCCCCAAGTTGCCTTTCTAAAAATCTCACAGGTAACCGGGTGGATGCTTCCTGTTGAGCATCAGCAGAACTCCAGGGGTAGGCTTCCCAGAGGGCCCCTAACCTCCTGCAAGTTTTGTTTGTACCCTCATCACCATTTTCTGATGATCAACCTGGGCCTTTGACACCTCAATCAACTTTTATACCATTCAGAGGGCTACAGTCACACCCTTTCTAACAAAGTCTAAATTAGCCCCTGTTGGAGGCAGGGGAACCTGCTTTCAAATTTGTTCCTCCTTTGGGTCCTCTGTCTTGGCCCTGGAAGTTGTGACTTTTCCATATACATACTGCATCTGTATTCTTTGGAGTTCATTCATTACCATTTAATAATTCTTTTCATTGCTTTTTCTGTTCAGCTTACTCTATAACTTTTGTCTCCTGACTAGATCCTAATTATCCTAACTGATATGGCCCAAGACCCAGACAGTTTTAAAAGGAGAGTCCACCAAATGTCAAGGCACAGACAATCCCAATTTTATATATGATCAAAAACAAAGAAAAAAGAAAAGGAAATTTATTTTATGATTCTAGTGCAATTCACATTTTCAATCTAGATTAGGATAATACATTAAAACACAATTTCATGTCCTTCAATAAATGAATCCATAAATGAGCTATGACACATCTGACAATAGAACATTATTCAGTGACTTAAAATGTGAGTTTTCAAACCACTTTTATGCGGGAGGAAGGGAGCTGTATAGTTGAAGCAGAGGAGATTTTTAGAGCAGCACGATTATTTTGTATGATACTATAATGGTGGATACATGCTATTATACATTTATCAAAACCCAGAAAATGTGCATCAAGAGTGAATTCCAATGTAAACTATGGACTATTGTTGATAAAAATGTAATAATATTGGCTCATCAATTGTAATAAATGTACCGTGCTAATGTAAGATGTTAGTAATAAGGGAAACTAGGGTGGGGTGGAGAGTATATGGTAACTGTCTGTACTTTCCACTCAATTTTTCTGAAACTTTAAACTGCTTTAAAATAAACACAATTCCAGACCTAACTTACTTATGAATATAAATGCATAAATGCCAACATAAAGTTTTTGCTTCTTTCTTCCTATATTTCTTTCCTTTTTTTTTTTTTTTTAAGAGAGACAGGATCTTGCTTTATTGTCCAGGTTGGAGTGTATTAGCAAGATCATAGCTCACAGCAGCCTCAACCTCTTGGGCTCAAGCAATTCTCCCATCTCAATCTCACAAGAAGCCGGGACTAAAGGCATGTGCCACCATGTCCAGGTAATTTTTGTATTCTTTGTAAAGATGAGATCTCTGTCTCATCATGTTGCCCAGGCTACTCTTGAACTCCTCGGCTAAAGTGATCTTGCTTCAGGCCTGGAAAGGGCTAGGACCACAGGTGTGAGCTAAGCCACCACATCCACTCAAATGTAAAAGTCTTAAAGCAAATATTAGAGAAACAAACTCAGTATTACTTAAATAACTACATAATGATGAACTAAGTTTTATATTAGGAATAACATAATGAATTAGCATAATAAAATGTTAACATAACAGTATTTTAATAAGTCAAAAGGAAAAATGACTTGGTCTTTTCAACAGATTCAGAAACACATCAGATGAAGTTCAGCACTCATTTATGACAAAAAACTATCACAAACCAGGTAAGAAATAAATCTCCTTAATGTAATAAAGGCTATATCCTGAAAATCAATAGTAAATGTCATCTTTAACGGATAGTATTTTAAAAAGTAACACGATGTAAAAATTGTCTTTATGTTGAGAGGATATTATAATTTGTATGGTACATCCAGAAGAATCAACCAACTATTAGAATGAGAGTTTCTGAAAATAGAAAAATCAGCAGCATTTTCTCATCCCAGCAATAAGCATTGGAATAGTAGTAGAAAATAAAATACCGCTGAAAAAACTGCGAAGTATACAGAAATAACCTAATAAAATGTACAAAGCTTTCATAGGAAAAAATTTTAAACCCTATTAAAAGCCATAAAATAGACCTGAATAAATACCGAGATTTCTATATCCATGGAGTGTTTGACTTCACATTATAAAGATGTCAGTTCTCTCCAAAAGTACTCTTGAAACTTCATTAGCACTGGCTGCTGGCTCTTCCCTCCAAACTTCAACCATATAAACCACAAAAGAGGAAGGAAAGCACAGATCTGAGGACGTTACAACTACAACAAAAACAAATGAACAGTAAGGTGTGAGAAACACATTGGAAGACAAGAGGTAATTCATGATTCAATGTGGATGGAAACTGGCAGCATAGGATGGGTAAATGCTAGCACCACAGCCAGGAAATGGAATAGAGGAAAACTATATTACTCTTAAACTTTTATTATGGAATAATATTTAAAAGAACAAAAATTAAGAAAATAGTATATGGTACCCCCTTCTAACCTCCTTCACACATATTCAACTCATGGAAAAACTGCTTCACTTATAGTCCACACATCCCCCACTCACTTGGATACTTTTGCCCAACTGACTTCAAAAAGCTACTGTGCCTGGGCTTGATGGTTCACGCCTGTAATGCCAACACTTTGGGAGGCTGAAGTGGGAGGATCACTTGAGCTCAGGAGTTTAAGACCAGGCCAAGTGACATAATGAGACCTTGTCTCTACTAGAAATCAAAAAAATTAGGCAGGTGTGGTGGTGCATGCCTGTAGTCCCAGCTCAGGAGACCACTATTAGTAGGAGTGGTAGTCCTCCCTATTACTCAGGAGGATGAGGTGGGAGAAAAAAAATGAAGGCAACTGCAGCATTAATTTTTAAATAATGACTGAGTAATAGAAAATCATAATCCCATTTCATTTATGAATAAACATGACATGAATATTTTGAATAAAATATTAGGTGATAAAATTTCACACTTACGTTTAAAATAATATTTTTATAAGAATATAAGATGTTTCTTAATGGACCTAGTACCTGTCAGTACCACATAAAACTGCTGATTCCTCCATTTTTCTTTTCTTTTTTTTGAGACAGAATTTCACTCTGTTGCCAAGGCTGGAGTGCAGTGGCACAATCTTGACTCACTGCAACCTCTGCCTCCTGGGTTCAAGTGATTCTCCTGCCTCAGCCTCCTGAGTAGCTGGGATTACAGGCATGTGCCACCACGCCTGGCTAATTTTTGTATTTTTAGTAGAGATGGGGTTTTACCATGTTGGTCAGGCTGGTCTCAAACTCCTGACCTCATGATTCACACACCTCAGCCCCCCAAAGTGCTGGGATTACAGGAGTGAGTCGCCATGCGCAGTCTCTTCATTTTCTTTTCCTGGCTTAAAAGCTATTACTTTCTTTTGATTCTCCTCTTACCTAAGAATTTACTCCCTCTCAAGCTTCTTTTTCGGTATGACCCCATTTTCCCAATTTTTAGCATTAAATTTCACCAGGACTATGCCTTCAGACCTCTCCTTTCCCTATCTAAACTTATTTTCCACATCATCTCAACCAGGCTTGCAACTTGAAATACCATGACTTCCAACTTTATGTCTTGACCTTTGACTTGTCCTTAAACTTGAGACTCATGTATGTTATTCCCTATTTCACATCTACATTAAATCATAATCTTGATCTTCCCTCTTCTACCCGCCCACCACTCCACCAAGCCTTCTGCTCCTGCCCTCTTCAGTTTATTAAATATCAACTCCATCCTTACAGCTGCTCAGACCGACACCCTGAATATATCTATGATTCCCCTTTAATAACCTGTATCTAATTCATCAGAACTCCTGTTTAATATGTCTTCAGACATGTAAAGAATCAGAACACTTTTCCCCACCCCGTAACTACCACTGGTTCAAAACAATGATTTCCTACTTTGATTATGCAAAGCCTCTTAACTAATCTCCTTCAACTCATATGACCTCTTAAACCTCTTTTCCCCATCACAGCTAGAGAGATTTATTTTAAAAGTTTTTAATAGGCTTTATTTTTTAGAATACTTTTGTGTTCACAGCAAAACTAAAGAAAAAGTAAAGAGTTTCCATATATTTCCTATCACTACACAAAAAGCTTCCCTCACTATTAAAATCCCTCTCAAGCTTCTTGAGAAAGAAGTACCCCAAGTACCCCAAAAGTAGTACTTTTGTTGACACTGATGGGCCTACATTAATTATCAATCAAAGTCTATAGCTTACATTACAGTTCACTCTTGGTATAAATTGAATGTGTTTTGACAAATGTATAATGAACTGCACCCATCGCTATAGGATCATACAGAGTAGTTTCATTGTCATAAAATCCTCTGTGCACTGACTACTCATCCTTCTCTTCCATCTGACCCCTGGAAACTACTGATCATTTTATTGTCTCCATAGTTTTGTCTTTTCGGAATATCACAGAACTCAAATCACCCAGTATGTACCCTTTTCAGATTGGCCCCTTTCACTTAGTAACATGCATTTATGGTTCCTCCATGTCTTTTCGTGGCTTGACAGCTTATTTCTTTTTTAGTGCTGAATAATATTCCATTGTCTGGATGTACCACAGATTATTTTCCCATTCACCTACTAACATCTCATTGCTTCCAAGTTTGGGCAATTATGAATACAATTACTATATATATTTGTATGAAGATTTTTGTGTGGTCAGAGTTTTCAACTGATTTGGTTAAATATAAAGGAACATAATTGCTGCATTATATGTAAAAAGGTATGTTTAATTATGAAACTGACAAACTATCTTTCAAAATGGGTATACCATTTTGCATTTCCACCATTAATAAATGGGAGTTTCTGTTGTTACAAATTCTCACCAGCATTTCATAGTGTTTGTATTTGTTTTTTTTTTTTTTTTTTGAGACGGAGTTTCGCTTTTGTTACCCAGGCTGAAGTGCAATGGTGCAATCTCGGCTCACTGCAACCTCCACCTCCTGGGCTCAGGCAATTATCCTGCCTCAGCCTCCTGAGTAGCTGGGATTACAGGCATGCGCCACCATGCCCAGCTAATTTTTTGTATTTTTAGTAGAGACGAGGTTTCACCATGTTGACCTGGATGGTCTCAATCTCTTGACCTTGTGATCCACCCGCCTTGGCCTCCCAAAGTGCTGGGATTACAGGGGTGAGCCACCGCGCCTGACCCAGTGTTTGTGTTTTGAATTTTCACTATGCTATTAATAATAGGTGTGCAGTGGTATCTCACTGTTACCTTAATTTGCAAACCTCCCTAATGACTTGTGATGTTAAACATTTTTTATGTTTGTTTCCATCTGGAAACCTTTGTGAGTTGTTTGTTCAGATCTTTTGATCATTTTTAATCATTGTTTCTTTTTAAATCATTTTGTTTTAGAGATTCTTTAAAAATGTATGTTAGATCATTTTACTCCTATTCTCAAATAAGAGTAATAATCACATTGAATCTTCACCATAAACTATTCTAATTGCTATTCAAATGACATTCTATCCCTTTTAAGATATATTTTTTTTCTCTTCACATTTCAAAATATCTTAAATTGGGGTGTATCTCACTGCTGCTGGCCAGGGAGTAGTCCTGATGCAATTGTCATTGCCTATTTATGCAAATAAAAACTTGCAAAAGATGTTGGTGTTATGGAAGCTAATCTCACAGACATTAATAAAACTTTTGTTTAAATGTTGCATCACCAGTGGTCTTAATGCAAACAAGAATGATATTGGGTAGAAAAAGACATAGATAATCTGAATGTAAAAGTTCAGAAACCCTAAAAGTTACTAATTTTAAAAAATATTTTCATCAATTCACGCAACTTTTAGTTAAGACATGGAACGGTGATGTCGTAGTATTTTGGGAAAATCCTCAATAACCCAACCTTCACAAAGGCTGAAACCTAGTATTGAATTATTTCAATACATATTTACATCAAGTTGATCCATCCCTAGTCTATTTGACTGCCAGAGCAAAATAAGCATTCCCTGGAGAAAGATAATATCATTCACAATCTCTCTAACTTTTACAGACAGTCTCCAGAATACATTAAAAAATTACCAAGCATGATAGCAGGAAAAAGTAACTAACAGAAAACCTACAACTCATATAAATATTGGAATAATCAAACAAAAACATTAAAATCATGTGATAAATGTGTTCAAGAAAGTAGAGTAAAAGATGGAAACTATCCCCTGAGAAATGAATCAAATGGAAATCTAGAACCAAAAAGCAGCAATGAAAAATTGAAAACTTGACAGATGAGGTTTATAACAAATTAAACACAAAATAAGAAAGAATTCAAACATTGTGAGTTAGGATAGTGCAAAATATTTAGAATCATCTCCTACTTTAACAGCAGATAAAGCAGGCCCAGAGAGAAAAAGTTAATGCATCAAAAATCATTATCACTATATGGTGATAATGCATCAAAAATCATTATCACTCCAGAGCTGAGTCTAGAGTCCCCTGACCCCAAGCGGAGTGCTCCATCTACATTGTAAGAATTGTCTTACAATTCACAATATTTTCTTCACACTTGAGGGTCCAGAAAACCTGACATCTCCAGAATGGCATACCCAGAGAAATGCAGAGAAACCACGTGGGGAAAGGGAAGAGGAAAGAGGAGTTCAGCAGGGGCTCTGATTGATTACTTGAAAGATAAGGAAAGTATCAAGGAGCATACTCCAGATGTGCTTGTTCCCTGGGGTACTACACCTGAATTAAAATGTGCCAGGTCCATTAGGACCCTTCTTCTCCATCCAGTGCAAACAGCAAGAAACAGATACTCCTCAGTAAGGAGATCTATCGAAGGTTTACATTTGCCTTAGAGAAACGGTCTCAGTAGAGAAGCCTTAATCACTAGAAACCCTGAAGAAACAAGTAGCTAGAGCTCATCTACAACCTCCTGGCTCTCAGGAGAGTTTTAAACCTGAATTATTAGTGAAATGTTAACCATAAAATGTACCTGTGAAATAGATCAAGTGGTTCTCAATCAAGAATGATTCTGACACCCAAGGGGTTATTTAGCAACGTCTGGAAACAATTTTAATTTTCGTGACTAGGTGGATGCTACTGACATCTAGTGGACAGCAGCCAGAGGTGCTGTTTTACATTCTTCAATGCAGAAGACAGTTCCCACAACAATAGCAAAATTATCTGATTCAAAATCTCTATATGAAAGCTTTAAAGAAAGAAAGAAAGAAAGAAAGAAAGAAAGAAAGAAAGAAAGAAAGAAAGAAAGAAAGAAAGAAAGAAAGAAATC